TACACACACACACACACACACACACACCCTCCCATCCCTCCCGTTCCCTGGCAGTTAAGGGATTAGTTAATCAACACGATTGCGAAGTCGACGTCATTTGAAAAGGAAATTAACCACTATCGTGCAATCATAACAATCATCAATTTTTTGTTTTTGCTTCCCTTTACATAGACAGTAAGACTTGTCTCATGAAACAAATTATTATAATTTCCACCACCGCCTATTCTTAGTGGAGACTAAATAATAATTATAATAATAATTTTTTTTAAAGTGGTGAAATGATATACGTTCAACGCCCCTATCAACACTGTTCAATATTATTTGACTGTATGCGTTTACTGAGCTACTGTGGGGAGAGGTTAGATGGTTGACACAGCGAGTGAGGCCGTAGATTTCGTTGCGTCATGTTTGAGTGGCAACCTAGTTGACTACGTCACACACACAAGAATTGGGGAGTAATGGGCTACGCTATTCCTTACGCCTTCAATCCAGTACAGGGACGTTGTTATTGCATTGATTTAAGGTTAATTTAAGTGCTGTGATGAGGTGGGACCTCAGGATTCGATGGTTTTATATATCCGATAGAAGGGCAAGAAAAATCAGTAAAACGAGGAGGAGGAGGAGGAGGAGGAGGAGGAGGAGGAGGAGGAGGAAGAGGGGGAGAGTAGAAGGGAGGGGTGGGGAAGAGGAGGACGACGGCAACAAAAGCAGTGATTTCAACAATAATTAGTTACAAAATAATAACAATAATATTTTATTAAAATGATTAATTTGTGTCCAATAGTCAAGTCTCATGGTGGTCAGTGGAGTAGACTTGAAAGTCTTCTTTGAGGACTTGGAAAGGGCCATTGACATGTGGACAACAACGACTGACACTATTCGCAACATGCGAGAGACTTCAACTCCATACTGATTTGATACTGATATCCACCGCCAACAACCACGTTGGAACATTATAGCAAAGGTAGTACAGCCTACGATAGTATCTTTGATTATAGTCAGGCTGGGGGGGGGGGGGGGCAAAGCCCAAGGTCTTTGTATACACCCAAAGTACGTGAATCATGGCGTTGTTAAGCCATCCGCAAGAGGGTCAAACTACCCCGAGAGGCGAGAGCCTGGCCAAGAGAATAGCATGACAGATAGGACGCACAGGAGGCTGTCAGCATGGCAAAAAATTAAGAGTGGCGAAACCTGTTGGACGATACATGTGCATTATGCTGGTCTGCTGTCAGTTTGCCCGTTAACGCTGAAGTATATGGCAACTGAATGATTTATATATTCCTAAAGAGAAATAAGAACTCAACGGATCCAAAGAGCGAAATTTATCAAACGAAATGACGAAGCACAACATATGTGAGGCATCGTGGTGAAATTAGGCGCTTGTCAAAATAATGAAACCCGAGAAATCGGCATTTTTCGGCCAGTTAAGACATTTTTTTCAAATGTTTGTTTTTTGGCTCAGCACCGAATATGTCAATTTAAAAACACTTTTACGTGTGGATGTTTATGGGAAAACGATTAAAGGCGCAAAAAATGCAAATTTTCAGTTTCCCAGGACTTTTCAGCTATGGAACTCATCAAACTTTGGGGGCCATTTTCTCTTTGTTTTTACCACTGAAACCCAGGTGGCCCCTCTCCTTCAATCGCAAATATATCGTCTTGTATTGTAGAGAGACGGTTACTTTTTCCACTGAAAGCAAGACAAACGAACAAACCTTAAGATGATACCAATAGTTCCATAAGCCCAAACATTGACGAGCACCTGATTCCACCACGTCGAGACACATATCGCCTTGTCGTCTTTGATAGGCGGAAAGCTAACATTGGCCCTGTTTGTAGTTTAAAAATATTATTCGTAACACACTATTCATAAGTGAGAACCATGGACATGACAAATGTTGACAATAGAGGAAAGAATAGATCGCTGAAACAACAGATTAACGGTTCTCGGAAAATCTACGGGAGATACTCGATCAGCCCAATTTCACCATCACTGAGCTAAGAGACTTAAGGCCCGCCATCTACAAAATGGAAGTCCGCGGGGCACTTTATATTAGCTCCGACTTAATTAACATCCCTCCAACTTAGCTCTATAACATCGAGATCCGAAAGCCCCAGAGAAGCTCCTTCTCTTTTCCAACATTACCCTTCATTCAACAAACGGCAGGCGGCTCTCGTGGCCTAGAGGTTCGCCTCTCATTCAATAGGTTCAGGGTTCGAATTCGGATAGCGACGGGAATTTTTCTTCTCTAAAATTGTCTCTTTTCACCTCTTTCCCGGCTCTTTAGCAATGTTCTGTCGTCTGCCTTCGTCTCCACTTTCTGCCCACACCCCTCACCTCCTTTGCTATCTCCCCTGGGATCGACTGCCACTTTCTGCAGCCGTTCTGCTTGCTACTCCTTGGCTCCTTCTTACTGCTGTCTTTGAGCAGCGCCCCTGATCTTATGGTAGGAATTTAAGATATAACCTATAGCCTTCTCGGACAAGGACGAAAAATCTCGGAGGTCCCGTGTGCAAGTTGCGCACGTTAAAGATTCCTTATTTGGTGGTCTAATATCGATAAGAGTATTATGCTTCGGGGCCTCCACGTACCCGGGCAAAATTCAAAATGTCCTATCAGCTGAAAATGCTTAATGTGTCCCGCGCGTTCATTTGACCTTATGCAGTTGCGAGCGCGTAAAACAACACATAAAAAGGGAAAGCAGACCGCAGTCATCGGGTGAGGACAAGGGGAGACTAGACTAGATATTCTGACACACTACTAGATCTACAGGCAGTGACCATGGCGGGAAGAACTCTTCTTGTCGTGGGGCTGGGAGATGAGCGCGACAGACGATTGATTACCGACTCTGTCACTGCATAAACATGTCAGCCACGCACAATCACAACACTCGTGACTCCACCACCACCACCACCACCACCAACAACAACAACAACAGCAGCAACGGTAACAACAACAACAACATCAGCAGCAGCAACAACAACAACAAAAGCAATAGCAACAATAAAACAACAACAGCAGCAACAACAACAGCAGCAACAGCAACAACAACAACAACAACAACAACAACAACAACAACAAGAACGGCAACAATTTTAACAACGGCAACAACAATTACGGCAACAACGGCAACAACAACGGCAACGGCAGTGACAGTGACAGCGACAGCAACAACAATAACAAAAACAATAAGAATTCTCATAAAATAATGACCATGAATAATTATGTGCACAAATAAAAGCAATGCAAGAACAAATTTAATACCGATAAAAAAAAAAAGAACGGAAGATGTGGAAGGTGGAAAGAAGCCAAAGATTACGATAATCTAAATATAATGAAGCCTCAACTATTGATTGAGTGCTTGAAGAGGACAGAGATATAAAAAAAAGAAAGAAAGAAAGAAAGGAATTAATGAAAGGGGAAAGATGAAGAAGACGAAGAAGCAATAATATCCAGGGGAAGCTACTCTAATGAATGCCCTTTGCCCTCTAGTCAGCTGTAAACAGAAAAATCTTGCTTGCTCTCGTGCCCAGTGTAGACGCCGGTTGCTCTCCACTTCACCATTACCTTTGGTAGCGGAGCGTAATTTTTTGAGGGACCTAAATTAAATCCTCATAGACTTAATCAAATTCTTGGCTGGATTGAACTTTGGTGGACCCATTGTGTTTACATAATGTATTATTATGCCTAGATGATCTAGAAATCTAGGTCTAGATTCTTCTAGATCTGATCTGAATGCAAAACAAGAGCGGACCTTTGCAAAGCTAGATCTAGAAGTCTAGATCTAGCCTTCAAAGTAGTTTCGGCTTCGTTCAGTTTTGAGTCCACCAAAGTTCATTCTTACCAAATTCTTCTCTGAAAAAGTGTGTCCTATTCCTATTGTTTCTTTGGTTAAATACAAAGTTTACTATCACATCCGATCGCAACAACATCATCGGATCGACCTGACATGTTAGATCTAGATCTAGATCTAAATCTAGATCTATCTGTAAATGTAAGCATGTAACGTCCACTGCCTCCCACCAGGCAGGCAATCAACCAAGCCAGACTGACGTCTACTCTTTACTAAGGCCACTTTAGTCTTTAAAACTTAAAACTTTGCTGTCAAACGATCACACAAATAAATTTAATATGCTCGTCACTGATTTTTACAACTAACTGTAAACTATCTCTAGAAATCAGACCCCCACCACTTGCCCTGGAAAGTGAAATTGTCATTTTGCTATTTTCAAACATATTTGCAAATATATAATAAAATACAGAAGACAAAGGCCTTTAAATTTTAGTTTTTTATCATCCACTAGAGTTAAAGACAAACATGAGAATAGAATTACATGGAAAAATGTAGGGGGCGTCAATGGGGCACGCCCCCGTGAAATGCCCCAGTTTACAGAAACTCAATAGTGTGCTGACCTGATCATGGTCTTTAATCATGTCACCACACCAACATTCCACCCCACTATACTTTTAATTAATTATACAAAAATGCACCCATCATTGGTCAAGAACAGTGCTATGTTTAAAAATGTTTCGAATTCACTCCTATATGATTCTGATGCACAACAACTGAAAAAAAAACAAGAACCCCCAATTGTTAATTTAAAAGCTCCATATTCTGACTTGGTGCTTCCTAAGCATGAAATTATATATTATATAATTACTGCGTACACGTAGTTGAATGAAAAAATGTTATGCATGTGTGGGTCATCCACATTGGCAATAATTATCTCAATGGTATTTCAAGTAAATGCATTAAAATAATAACTGTTGAAATTCGTTTAGTAAAACACTGATGAAAATGAATCAGGCTTGATAGTAGTAACACCATACCTTTTCTTTCACTGTCCAAGAGCCTTTGTGTATGACTCTCTTTTTATCATTGTTCTCATCTCTGCAGTAGCCTGTTGTGACGCCTGCTCTGACTCCTGCACCTACTGAGCTTCTTTGAATTAAGTGGCTTGTGAAAAGATAGCTGGAATATGGGAGATGCCGATAACTTTCATGTTGTCTTACGCAGTCGACCAGGTGCCCATCCTTATCACTCTCTTACTGTAATATGTGACCTGTCAAACACTGAATATACATATATATATATATATTTATTTAAATGTTCTCAATGTTAAAATTTAAGTTCGTTGAGAGTTAAATTAAGGAGATATCTTTAATTGAGGTCTTTGAGCCATGAAGCTGGAAAAATCAATAAGAGATAAAAAGAAAAGTTTCCAAGAAAGACTCATCCTCGAAGCAGATGTAACAACAGTAAACTAGCTAAAGGGAACGTGGTAAAAGTAAATCTCGCTTGCCTCAACCTCCTATTCTTATTAAATAAAAATGTAAAACAACTCTTTCTTTCATGATGCCATCGCAAATCAAATCTTTAAATATAGCCCCACAGTGAGTAAAGTTAACCCCAGATGTGTGTTGCAGGTCAAGTAAGATCAGAGTGAGGGCTCAATGGACTTTTTAGTTGAACACTTTGACGCGCTGTTTCTTTTTGAGGCATTATACCCTTGATCTCTCCATCATATATTATGTCAAGTGATAAGAAAAATGTTCCAGCTGTCAATATATTTTTTTTCTGACCTTTCTGATTTTGCTAGCACAGGACGTCTCAGTTTTATTAAGTAAACTTAAGAGGGACAAATGTTGTTCTGTCAAGACTACAGGTTTTTAAAAAAAAAATTATTCTAAGCCCATTTCCTAAATGCTATATTTTGTTTAATGGTTGTAAAGAATTCCTTCTAAATTTTATGGGGTTTTTTTTTCCTTACAGGGGAAAGTAATGAACCACTCGAGTCCAATTTCTCATATGAGAAGAAGGCCTATCCAACCGAAACACTGTCCAGCGGAGACTTATTGATAAAAAATCGCTTCTTGTCTCTTGACCCAGCACTGGTAAGAAGTGAAAGCTGCAAATTTGTGTTTCTGTTTTAATTGATAGTTTTTTCTGTCATTGTTTGTAACTAATTATTTTTCCAAGGTTCATTTCATATAAATCTATTAAAGTCTATTTGACATCCACGTTGTAACACAGCATAATTGAATGCTTGTCATGTCAAGGAAAGTCACTTTTAGTATCTAGGTTATGGCAAGGTATGCATGAAAATTACATAATATGAACATAGAAATTGCAGTTTTGTAGCAAAAGTGCTTGGTGGATTGGTTTGATATTAACATGGATGTCATAAAATGTATATAAGTTGTTCCATTTTTTGGTATTTTGACCAAAATGAACCAGTTCACTTCCAGCTCTTTTTTCTCAATATAGTTTAAATACTTATGTTTCTGTCTAGCCGTGCAGTCTCGGCATTGAGAAGAATAGGACTGACATGGTGCTAGCGTGTCGTAGGAGGCGACTAAATGGCGAAACCAGGTAGCGACTCCCGAAACAGAGTCATCCTCCCTCCAGGTCGGGGTTGAGTCACGAGGCTAACAACCTCTCTCGTAAAAAGAACTTGTTACAGAAACACATTCAACCGAAAACCATTGTCTCTGCTTGGCTGGTCGTGGATACGAAGCAGTGAAAGCCGAAAGGAAGCTGCTGGTCAGAAGCCTCCACCATCATCCAAGTCCAAGTCTCTCCGGATTGGTTCGTGGAACGTTAGGACCCTTTATGAGGCTGGAAAAACTGCACAGGTCCTCCAAGAAATGCACCGATACCACCTACACATACTGGTAATCAGCGAGACCCACTTGAACCAGTCTGGACAGAAGCGAATGAAAGAGGGGGAGCTTTTCATTTATTGAGGAAATGACAGTGATGGACCACACAGGGAAGGAGTAGGGATGATCATAGCCAAAACAGCGCAAAAGACATTCAGGGGCTGGGAAGCAAATAGTCCAAGAATCATCATGGCCTCATTTGGAACTCAAAAAGAACTCAAGGAAAGAGATGGCAGGAAGAAGATCATTAACATGAACATCATACAAGTGTTTGCCCCAACCAATGATGCAGAAGTGGAGAATAAAGATGACTTCTACAACCGCCTGCAGAGTGTGATCGACAAACTTCCAGGTAAGGACATCAACATTGTCATGGGAGACCTAAATGCAAAGATAGGTTCGGACAATCGTCCCTGTGAGACATGGGCAGACATGGATTAGGAGAGGCAAATGACAACGGAGAAAGATTCCAAAACTTCTGTGCAATCAACGACTTGGTTATTGGAGGAACAATCTTCCCACATAAAAGAATTCATAAGGCCACTTGGGTCTCCCCGGATGGAACAACGGAAAACCAAATTGATCATTTTTGCATTTCCCGGAAGTTTAGACCCTCACTGGAGGATGTCCGAGTCTTACGAGGAGCAGACGTTGCATCAGACCGCCATTTGATCCTTGGAAAGATGAAACTGAAACTGAGAAGGTATGCTCAAATCACAACTGGAAGTCGCCAAAAGTATGAAGTGAGCCTTCTGAAAGATCCAGTAAAGAAAAATGAATTCAAGTTGGAACTGAAGAACAGATTTCAAGCCCTTCAAGATCTGGATGACTGTGAAGTAAACGAACACTGGGACAAGATAAAACAGGCAGTAAATAAAACCTGCCAGAGCATCCCAGGACCCAAAGTCAACTCCAGGAATGACTAGATTTTACAGGACTCTCTAGGCAAAATCAAAAGAAGAAGAGAGCTGAAGGCCCAAGTCAACAACTGCCGTACCCGAACTGAGAAACTCGCTGCACAACAAGAGTATACACCGAAGCAAACCGGGAGGTAAAGAATTCCATCAAGAAGGACAAGAATACCTACTTGAATGGCCTGGCCGAAAAGGCAGGGAAAGCAGCAACAGAAGGGCACTTGCAGATTGTACATCAGACAACAAAGACTCTTTCAGGTAGGTTTAGCAAGCCCACTCTACCAGTGAAAGACAAAGAGGGAAAGACTATATTCAACCCAGAGTGGCAACTGAACCGATGGAGGGAACACTTTGATCAACTTTTGAACAAACCACCTCCAGAAAACCAACCAGAAATTGTTCCTGCCAGAAATGACCTCCCGATCGCTACGGAACCACCTTTGAGAGAGGAAATTGCTGCAGCTTTAACAGCACTGAAGTCCCGCAAGGCAGCTGGACCCGACCATATACCACCAGAAGCCCTTAAGACAGATAAAGATACAGCAGTAGAAATTCTTCATGCTCTATTCGAAAAGGTTTGGCAAGAAGAGGAAATACCTTCAGACTGGAAGGAAGGCCGCCTAATCAAGCTGCCAAAGAAAGGAGACCTCAGCAATTGTAACAACTACAGAGGCATAACACTCCTGTCCATACCTGGGAAAGTCTTTAACAGGATACTCCTGGAGAGAATCAAGCTGGCAACAGATGAGAAGCTCAGAGGAAACCATGCAGGATTCCGCCAGAACCGATCATGTGTGGACCAGATCGCTACCCTGTGTATCATTGTTGAGCAATCGCTTGAATAGAATTCACCACTAGTGGTCAACTTCATTGATTATGAAAAGGCATTTGACAGCGTGGACTGGGAAACTCTGTCGAAAGTCATGCGACATTTTGCAATACCTGACAAAATCGTTGAGCTTGTGAAGACCACCTATGATGGAACAAACTGCCATGTCTTTCACGAAGGACAACTCAGAACCATTCCAGGTACAGACAGAAGTGCGACAAGGATGCCTGCTCTCACCTTTTCTCTTCATACTTGCAATTGACTGAATCTTGAAGGAAGCCACCAGAGGCAAACACAATGGAATACAGTAGATCCCTTGGAAGTAGCTGGACGACTTGGACTTCGCAGATGACCTTGCACTGCTCTCTCACACACATGCTCAGATGCAAGAAAAGACCAAGGAACTCAACAGCCTATCAAGAAATGTTGGCCTACATATATACACCCGCGCAAGTCGAAAGTAATGAAACTAGGAAAAGTGTCAAGCCCTGCTGTGACAGTGGAAGACAATCCCCTAGAAGAAGTGGACTCCTTTACCTACATTGGAAGTGTCATCGATGGTAAAGGTGGAACTGTAGCAGATGTAAAAGCAAGAACCGCTAAGGCAAGGTCAGCATTCAAGCAATTATCAAAAGTCTGGAAAGGAAGCAACATCTCACTGCACACCAAGATTCGACTTTTTAATTCCAATGTCAAGTCTGTGCTCTTTTACGGCAGCGAAACTTGGAAGACAACAAAGACAGTGCTGAATAAAGTCCAGACTTTCATCAACAGATGTATGAGGAGTATCCTAAGAATTAAGTGGCAGGATAGAATAAGAATTGAAGAGCTATGGGAAAGGACAGGACAAAAGGATATAGAAGTAAAAATTGGACTAAGAAAGTGGCGTTGGAGGGGACACACCTTCAAAAAACCCAGCGGAAACATCACAAGACAGTCACTGCAATGGAACCCACAGGGAGCATGAGGCAGGGGTAGGCCACGAGAGACATGGAGGAGATGTGTGGAAAGGGACATGAGAGAGATGAAGCTCACTTTGAACAAGCTAGGAAGGATGGCCCAGGATAGAGATAAATGGAAGGAGCTTGTAGTGGCCTATACCCTGCCAGGGGTGAAAGGTAGTGATGATATGTTTCTGTCAAAATTATTGCTTTTCATGTTTTGGTTGTAAGATATGTAGTGTTGTACAGATTCCGTGCAATGCAGATGATAGGGTTTTACGTATTCAAACTTTTTATCAAATTACTTAAAAGTGTTGTTTATTTACAGAGATGTAGAATGAATGAGGACTCTGGTGTTCAGTATATCAAAGCCTGGGAACTTGGAAAAACTGTTGATGGGTTAGGTGGTGTTGGTGAGGTCATAGCAAGTGCAGATTCCAGCTTCCAGCCTGGAGATATCGTCACTCCCAACTTTGAGTGGCCTTGGGAGCTTTACTTTGTTGTGAAGGCTAATACTGTGCGCAAGGTATGCTGTACATTTATTGCAAATAATTTGAAAGTTGAGTTAGAATGTGCTTTTGGATAGCAGTGCTTCCCTTCTACTGTACTTTTACGGAAATCCGTACTTTCTGCCAGTTCCGTAGACTACTTGTTCCTCCATCATTATAAACTCCCTCCGTAAAAAACTGCAACAACGTAGGACTAAATATCTACTGAAATTCCATATCAAAAGATCCATACTCGCCTTCGTATTGTCTTGTATAAGCTACGGATATTTACGGTAATTCTCTCGGCAATAAGTTAATGTTATAGAGACCTGCCAGATTGCGTGTCTCCTGCAATCGGCCCTTATTCCGCTATTCTGTCCCCGTAGAATTATGGAAATTTAGAAGGCCAAATTATGCACAAAAAAAGCAAAATTATGCAAAAATTATGCAAGTAAGCGTAACACCATTCGCGACATGTTTTGCACTTTTTCAACACAAAGTTTCATGATTTTCATGTTTTATGTACAGACAAATTGAAAACAGAACATATCAGTATCAGTAATTTGTTGTGTATTTGGAAAAGAAAACAATATACATCAGTAAAAAAAAAAAAAAAAAAAAAAAAACCACCAAAAATAATAATCTCTGTAACTTTAAGAGGAAAGAAAAATGTTTTAAAAAATTAATAAAATAGGACATCTGGACCTCTGATGCTGGCACATTACCAAAACCAGGGACACCTGTCAAACATGAAACACCAGCAGACATGAGAACAACAACTTTTGATGGATTGAAGAATTGAACACGCTCAAGGAACAAAATCACAACCCATAACCAAGATCTTCTAACAATAAAGGGAAATAACCAACTTTTCACTTAAATGAGACTTATTACGGTGACTACTTCCCTTTAGTCACATGACGAGGCGTTAATTAATTGTTTTGTGAAAAAAAGGAAAAAAACGTGAAAAAACGCGGATAATCCAAAATTATGCAAATGTTGCAGAATTACGCGAAAAAACGCGGCTGCACAATCGCATAATCCTACGCGGACAGGCTATTTCACATGCATTCATTGCGGGTTGGCATGCAGTACAGTTTTACCTGCAGATTGATCAAAATCTGATGAACTTTTTGTTCCAATTACCTCCTTTCACTCATTCCGTCTGTCTATCTGCGGACTGTTGCCGCGGCTGGAAAATATGCGCGTTGATCGAATGAATTGACTAGTGATCTTAGACAGAAAATTACTGTCAGAAAGAAACTTGTTTGCAAATTTATTGTCGAGATCTAGAGAAATTATTAATGCGAAAATTCTACTGTGCGGGAACGCGATGAGGGCCGCGATGAAATAAATTATGCTAAAACTACTAAAATCAAGAATAGATCTATAATTCGAAGTGGTGTTCCGAGGTTGTGACATGCAACATTCAGAAGTGAAAATTGTGGAAAATTAGGGTATACACTTGGAAACGATGTTTTGAAGGTGTATATATCTATTCATTATTCCCAGGTTTTCCTTCTATCAATTGTGCGATGACAAATTAATAGAATTATAATAGCAATGGAAGGGGAACATCGCCAGCAATGGAAAGATAATATGTAGCTGGAAAAATCAAACCAGACAAAATTTTGGCGAACTAATAAATGTTATGGGTTGTAGGCAATCTCTTCAAACAGGCTCCTAAATGCCATTTTTAACCCTCTAAAAGCACTAAATTTCAATTTCTTCAGGGGCTTCGCCCCCTCAAACCCCACTAGGACTCTGCCCCTGGACCCTGATGCGGCCCTCAGACCCTTGGCACAATTTTCCTTACTTTTCAGCTTCAGCTGGTGGATGCACTGGGATAGATCTATCTGTAAAAGCTAGTTCTTTGTGCTAGGTAAATGGTAGGGCCTACATTTATTGAAGATATTGGGAAAAAGTTAAAATGGATTCTAAATTTTTTGAATAGAGATATATCTTTTTTACTTTGTTTTCGAAAAACAGGCTATTGTTATTAGGTGGTAAATAAAATTAAATGTTTATAAATAATATAATTTGACTTTTGTGAAAGTTTTGGTTGGATTTAGGAATAAAAATGGTGTGGTTGATTACATGTTGCCTACCCATCAAATTTTGCATTTGATTATTCTCAATCATTGAAATGATCTATCAGGAAATCTAAGGATCAAAGAAGGTAGAACTATGACACATTTTTATTTTTTTTACTTCAGCTCCCTGAAGCCATGACTCAAATCTCACCAACTCTTTGTCTGAGTGTTCTTGGTGTAACCGGCTTGACTGCCTACCTGGGTGTCAAAGAAAAAGGACACATTCGACGCGATGCCAACCAAGTGATGGTCGTGAGTGCTGCGGCTGGCTCCACGGGTTCTTTAGCAGGCCAGGTGAGTGGTGATGTTTTCTGCTAACATGCTTTTTTTTTTTAAAGATGGCCCAGGACAGAGATAAATTGAAGGAGCTTTATGTGGCCTATACCCTGCTAAGGGTGAAAGGTTTTGAGGATGATGCTTTTAAAAAAAAGATATTTTAGTCTGACAATTAAATATATAAGCTGGCTTTTTGTTTTACCAGCAAGTTTTACTGGTTTTTACAGTTTTGTCGATTCCTGGATGTCTTGAGACCTAGAGAAATAATAAACAAATGAAAATGCTCACAAATGTATTTCTGTAAGCAGAAACAGATTGGTTTTTTTTAGCACTTTTCAGATCTTAGATGTAACTGAAAACCTGTATATTTACTTCAGATAGGAAAAGCTGAAGGGTGTGGAAAACTTGTAGGTATCTGTGGGTCAGACACCAAGTGCCAGTGGCTGACAACAGAGCTTGGCTTTGATGTAGCCATTAACTACAAAACTGAGAATGTCTCTGAAAAGCTGGAAGCTGTCTGCCCTGAAGGAGTGGATGTCTACTTTGACAATGTTGGTGGGAGTATAAGCAATGATGTGATTAGAAAGGTAACTTCTGTGTGCTCTGTTTCGTTAAAACGATCTTTTTCTTTCTGTCCACTACTGCTTTATAGACGATCAGACGAATGCAGTGTCAAAAAAAGATTTCAGTGTGCCTAAAATGTGATACCTTAAGTTTTTTCTTTAGAAAAATATTTTGTTTGATTTATTAAGTTGTTCTCCGCCAATATTTTTTATATCATCTCTCTTGCGAATTTCTTTTAATTTGAATTTACCTTTCACCTCCATGTATTGTTTGAAAGCAAACTAGTTAGGCCTGGAACCCCAATGACCTTTTTTTTAAAAACTCTGACAGAGATGAGACTCAAAATCATTTCTTATAGAATTTATGAACGTTAGAGATCTGTTGTCAGGTTTTTAAAAATGTTTTTATTATTAATACTTTTACATATATATATATATATTATGAATTGCTGATTCCCAAAACGTTGTAAGGAAACCAAGGAATATACCTGTAGTTTCTCATTTTGATTTAGTGCTTTTGCGTCTCCACACATTCCCTTTCAGATGAATCAAGACTCTCACATTATACTGTGTGGACAAATCGCAGACTACAATAAAGATTTACCATATCCTCCCCCTATTCCCACAGACATTGAAGCCACCTTGAAGGACAAGAACATAACCAGGTGAGCCAAGTAGTATGAAGATTTTTAATTGGTACTTTGCATCAGTTCTTGGCACACTTCACAAATATCGGTGGTTGATTAGTGGATGCTCTGGTGTGGTTTATTTGCGGTTGCTCCTTCTTTCTTGTCAAACCTCTATCATCCTTTTCGCTCCTCCTTTTTTGTGTTTGTTACTCTCTTGTAACACCTCTAATCTTCAGCTCTAAAATGACCTAGTTGTGTTGCAAGTGCCATAAAACTCTTACAAAAAACAAAACAATAAAAACTCACAAACTACAAACTATTTCACGCTTTCTCTTTTCTTCACATGTTTTAAGTTGAAAAGTTTGAAATCCTCTTAACCCTTTAGTTGCCAGGGGGTGTGTGTTTCTACTGTCAGCACTGATTTTCATCTAAGCTCTCTAGTCAGGACAGCAGTCTCAGTGTTACTGGACTTACGGTCTAGATCTAGCCCACTGGTAACATAACCGGTCTGTGAGTGTCAATTTCCTACTTCCCTGTATTCCCCTTCTTACCCATAATTTCAAGAAAACTTTCAAATCTGAATAAAAAATTGACATTTTCTGCCTTTCTAAAATCCTTTTGGTGTTAGCCTACCCTTTGAGTTTTGTGAGAGAACATTGTCGTCCGCAAGACGAGACTTATGTTTATTGATAGCTTGTAAGCCTAGCAGGAAACTAACACTAGCAAATTTAGTACCGCTTTGCACATTTTTCTTTTCACGAATACAAATCCAGGCTGTTCTTGTGGCTAAATCTCAGTACAGAAGAATTACAACAAGATAATTTGCATGTCGGACGCATAACATCTTATAGCTTATAGGCGACCAGGAACATCTACAGAGCCAAAAGTTAAATTAAGCATTTTCATGACATACAGTCCATGCCGGCTTTAAGCACGGTCACCGGGAGAAAGCTTAAGCGTGCTTTATGCCGAAGAGTGCTTGAGTGCGAAGTAGACATAATCCAGAGATTTTCATGTAGAAAATTTCCCGTACTATTTCCCTTTGTTTGTAAGTGTAAGTAGGCCTATAGCGGTCCCGCAAAAGTGTGCACTCTTATTTTTACCCACCTTGGTAGTTTTTGTTTGCTTGTTTGTTTTTGTTTTGTGGTCGAATGGAAAATGACAACTTAATTTAGACTGCCAGTCACGATACAGCACACTAGGTCTACACACTGTCTGTGCGTACCACTGCCCGCTGTGCCACATTCATACCACCGCCTTCATCCCACCTCGCGCTTGATACTCAATCAGGATTAACTGATAGCGATGGTCAAAGGTGAAATCGCAGCCAGCCCCCCTTTGTCGTCTCACCAACTCTCTTTGTATTTTTTTTGTCTGTGTGTAGCTTTGCCAAAGGCTAGATCCTATGTCCACGCGCGCGGCTGTGTGCATCTCTCTGCCTTCATCTCCGCCTGTGTGAGTGTGTGTCTCCGTCACTTTCGTGCTTTGTGTTTCTCTTAACACACTCACTGCTGCGGTGTAGACTTTGATGGGTCATCGTGAAAGTATTGATTGTCTTATAAATGAAGCATGCGTGTAATTTATATCACAAAAATTTGGTAAGAGCCGTTTAGCGTGCTTGAGTTCGAAACGTGCTTTATGCCGACACGGACTACCAAATACGTCATTAGGCAATGAAGGGGTTAAACAACACATTCTTAAAAAGTGAAGGTACCTGTCATGTTATGAGGTAAAAACTGATTCCATAATATAATGTATCCGTTATGTTGTTTTATAATAATATCATGAATTCATACTTCAACTGGCATTTATAATGTAATGAATGGCCTCTTCTCTGACGCATGCAGAAGATGTGAGCTCCATACGTGTTTGACGTTTCTCTGTCTGTCTCCACAGGCGCCATGAACCTCTCAAGCAGCCCACCTCCTAAATAATCTAAATTGTGTCCCAATGGGAGCATATTTACACGTTTAGAATTATAATATTACCTTTACATAAAATTTCTTCATTTTCTGAGTCTTTATAAACTATTTCTTCTTTTTCACTCTAGCACTTACATATGAAAAATGTACATAGTAAAATACACACATGTGTAACAGATTTTTAGGTCAGGCGTTTTGTTTTAGACATGAATATATTCTTTGCATTTATAGTATCTACATAGGAAAATTTGTCCTTACCGAAAAGATATCTGCTTCGTGCCAATTTTGCTATAATAATGATCTTGCTAGATAGGCCTACCATTTAACTTCTGTGCAAAATAATCATAGATAGCACTTTTGGCTCAATCCTTTCCAGAGAAAGATTCCTGGTTCTGAATTATCAAGATCAGTTTGAGCCTGCCCTTGGTCGCCTTATGGAACTGTACGTGCAAGGAAAACTGAAGGTAAAAATAGTTCCCTATTGCTAAATCCTAGGCTATGGAGATCAGTGTGGTGTAGTATTATGCTTTCTAATTCATTTGGGAGGTCTGTTCTCATTTTAGCCCGTAATTTTCTGTTTTAGTTTCTTTTTTTCATGCTACTGAAGAGGCATTATAAGTTACCGATTTGTACCTAGATTATTATTACATTTTTTTAGATCGCAGGGTGAGGAGGGATGGGAAGGGGCTCTGTCTTCCTGAGGGATTTTGGATTTTTTAAATCTGCTGTTTCTTTCCTGCTTTTGAACACACTTTGTTTCAGACATTAAATTTTCACTCTTGTGAATGATAATATTAGCTTTCATTTTTAAATGCCTGGGTATATTCGACTCTTTAATTCCAATGTCAAGTCTGGGCTCCTCTACGGCTGCAAAATTTGGAAGACAACAAAGACAGTGCTGAATAAAGTCCAGACTTTCATCAACAGATGTATGAGGAGTATCCTAAGGATTAAGTGGCAGGATAGAATAAGAAATGAAGAGCTATGGGAAAGGACTGGTCAAAAGGATATAGAAGTAGAAATAGGACTAAGAAAGTGGCGTTGGATGGGACACACCTTCAGAAATCCCAGCGGAAACATCACAAGACAGTCACTGCAATGGAACCCACAGGGAGCATGAGGCAGGGGTAGGCCATAGGAAACATGGAGGAGATGTGTGGAAAGGGACATGAGAGAAATGAAGCTCACTTGGAACGAGCTAGGAAGGATGGCCTAGGATAGAGAGAAATGGAAGGAGCTTGTATGTGGCCTATTCCCTGCCAGGGGTGAAAGGCATTGATGATGATGATGATATATTGCCAAAAGAGGGAGTTCATTTCATTGTTCAAGTGGTCTAAGAGTAACTTGTCATCAACAATATAATATATTTAGTATCGCTGTGCTCATTTGAGTCTTGCAGTGCTATGAATAGTATATAATATAGATGTAAATTGTGTTTTGTTTGGTATAATGTCTACTGATGGACAGATAACAGACAAAAGTGGTAATAGTTTTTTCCGATAGGTGTGTTTCACAAAACGTCTTGTTTGCCTACTAGATGATGCTTCTGGGTCTTGCTGAAGCTCTCAGGTTGAGACTTCATGTCATACACAATGTTTCTCAAGAGTTGTTTTTTTTTCAAACACATTGTCTAAACTTACTGTGGAGATCTAAATTTCATTTTGAAATACCATACTTTTTTGTATCTGTTTATTACCAAAGAATGTACTCTTTCCTTTGTCCTAATTCAATAAAATGACTAACATGTTTGTAACTCAGTCACAAGTGTTATGAACTCCATAGAAATAATTTTGAAATACTTTTAGGATTACACATTCTAAATTCAAGCTGCCTACAGACAGTGGCAATGGACATGGAAGTGCCTAATCTCATATTTTACTCTTTAAGAGTCAATATATTTTGAACCTCAAAGCAACAATGTGGTTTCTAAATCCATGTACGAGTACAAACTCATTTTGGCTCTTTTTGTTCTATCTCAAAGGTGAAAGAAACAATTGAAATGGGCTTGGAAAACGCTGGGAAAGCCTTTGTCTCCATGATGAAAGGGGGTAACATCGGGAAGCAGATTGTGCAAGTGACAAGATGACCTCTTCACTAGTGGATTTGGTTAGGTAGTTTTGTCCCATTGCAATGTGGTTCTTAATGTGAAGTCCATGGCAATGAAGTAAAACTTCAGTCGAGCCTACTTTGAATTTTTGAACATTTGAATGAGTGTGTGTGTGGGTTGGGGAGAGGGGTGGGTTAGAGTTAGAGAAGAGAGTGGACTGCTTTTTGCTAATGGAAAATAATAATTTTAAAAAATCTTCGGCTCTCTATTTTTTCATCTTTAGTAATTATTGTTGAAGAAGTGATTCATTTGTCAACAAATATAGTGTATTTGATTAAATTTTCAAGGAAACTTACACAATCAACACTGAGGTTGTGCGAGTTTCCTTGATAATCTAATACTAATAGAATCGTATTTCAACCTGATTGATGCAATCCTGCTTTTGTCAAGGCGAACTTGTGTGACTGCAGCAATGTGATTTTTGGTGCTATAGATCAAGCATACTGATTTTTATACTCCTGTTGTTTCAATTAAAATTTTGTTGAAGATTGATGTGCATCCATTAATTACACTGAATGACTTTTCATTCTGCATGTGTTTGTTGCTTTGAATTATTCCTGAAATGCAAAGTTTTTCAAATATGTATTTCATCATGGTTATTAGGTCTTTGTGAAAATAATGGAGTAGATCAAACTAGCATTTTTCCGAACATTGGATAATTTTTATCAATTTTTTAATTTTGGGCTCAACACCTTTTATGTACATTTACAAACACTTTTCTGTTTTGATTTTTATTGACACGTGTTAATGAAAAGGACAAAAGTTTCAATAAAAGCAGTTTCCAAGAACACTAGAACTTTGGAAGTCAAACTTTGGCGGCCTTTTTTCTCGCTAAATTGTTCTGACACCAGGTGACCCCCTACCTCTTTCAATCCTGAATATCTCAACTTCTATTCAAGATATATAGGTATTGTTTTCATTAAAAGCAAGGCAAATGAACAGTCTTTAAGATGATACCAGAAAATCCATATATGCCAAAAATTGACGAGTGCTTGATTTCACTTCGTAGTGACACATATTTTTTTGTCTTTAGCTTTTGTGATTCGCTGCTATTGCAATACACCTCAGAGAAACCCGAATAAAATAAATGTAGGCTTACTCTTCATCTATAATTGAGTTTTATCCTCTTCTTTCCGGTTGTACTTACTTAATGTGTATATTTTATTTGTTATAATCACACACACGCACACTCACACACATATAAACACACATATACACATAAACACACACGCACACATAAACACACACACCCACATCTTACTTTTGATAACTACTCTGAATAATCTAAGAGCCAAGGTCCACATACTCCGCTTTCGTACACTTACGTACTCACAAAGTGCGTATGGAAGCGTTCGGCCTTTTATTTCTATATTACCTGGGCCCACTGCGGACGACACGCTTCCTCACGCTTACGTGAAAAACGTATGACGTCTAGTGTCTAGCATGTCGAACATTTTCCGTACATGCTGTGGCTTCACCGACACTGATTTCGTTGATTGTCTTTTGTTTGCCCACTTTTACCTTTAAAATTAAATTAGTGCCACTTGACTTTGATCTCAGTATTCTCAGTCTAAAGACTGATTTTTTAATAACATTTTTTGTTTGTTTTTTTTTGTTGTTTTTTTTTGGGGGGGGGGTTGTTTTGTTTCTTCATTTGACATGATTTAAAAATAGTCAATAAAGTTCACATCATTGTTAATTATTGAATTTGCTATTCTGAATTTCAATAGTTGTTTGGTATTTGTTATTTGTTTTTTTCTGCTCCCATTTTTCAAAGTAAACAAATGTGCCTGAGAAGAACACGCTCTTTGGGAGGCATAGAGTGGCTCTTACTTAAATGACTGATACGGTAAAGATCATTTACGTAGGTCGTATACTACAATGACAACAGCGGAAAAAAAAGAACAGCAGCAACAGCAGCAGCAGCAACATCTTACAAAAAAGAAGGAAAAGAAACTAGGTGCATTGTGTTTACTTTGTGTTTACTTTGGTCATAAACTGTACTGTCAATGGACAATCAAATAAAAAACCTGCAAACATTTGGAATTAAGGAGACAGACAGAGCTAGATGGATATAGAGACAGACGTTCAGCTTTATTTGATATAAGGGCCCTGAACCATTAATGCCCAGCTCATAGCCAACCTTCCATTGGGTATACTGTTTATACTTGTACTACTATTAGCATAATTGTCGATTTTGAGAAAGAGCTTGACGTTTTTGAACCGTAGCAATGAGTGCATCCATCTTGATGGAATAGAAATCATGCAATGCAAGGGTACTTGCTGTCTGAAGGGAAACAGGATATTTCAGTGTTGCCCCTAGTGCTTTCGGTTTGATTGAAAGCCGAACTTATCTCCGTATTGAAAACATGCAGGAAATTTGACGCAGTGTAGACTGAGTAGACTGCCTATTTCGATCTCTCGGGTGACGTGCGTTCGGTGGGTTCAAGGTCAGCATTAAAAGTAATAAAAGCAAAACAGGATCGGCGTGTCTGCACGCTTATTGTCGTGCATTTTTTCGAATTATTTTAAACCCGTCACTCACTACGCAATTAAAAGGGTGCGCCTGCCTTGAGATGGCCTCAAGACCAACTGAACGCAATCTCAAGATGATCTCAAGACCAAAATCCGGACTGCTCGGTTAAAAATCTCCACAAACCATGAGATCGCTTGAATTCAGAACGAGCCTGAAAATTGTCGGATCGGAGATCAGGTTACTCGACGCTAAAAATAAAGTGGTGCCAAAATCTAAATTTTGCCAATCTGACTTCAGAATCTTCCTCAGGGTCAAATTCTAGCGGGATTTGATACGAAACACTTCTTTTTATCAAATGTTTGATGTAGCAATGTCATCATTTTTTGCGTCAGCCAGCTTATTTTGTGGTTAAAGACCATTTGGGGTTGAATGGTACTGAAAGCTGTGGAAAATAAAACAATACGAGGTACTTTGTTGATTTCTCCTCGATATTCAACAATGGAGTCAATTAGAGAAATTCTTAAAAACTATACAGGTTCCAGCAACTTCACTTTAGGTGGAAGCCATTTTGGTAATGTGCTGGCATGAGTAGTGTGTGGACGCAAATGAGATCGCTCACAGATCCGATCGTCAGTTCACCTTGAGATCATCTTCAAACTATCTTAAGATCAGGAACTGCGTAGTGAGTGGGGGGCTTTACCCATTTCCTGTAGATCTAATATATATTCATTTCTGAACATATCGATCCAAGCTTCCTTGACCTCTGCATTTTAGTTGGGTTAACTGGTCTAAAGTCTTGTATTTTTGTGTAGTTTTTTACTCTTCTCTCAGTCATTAGTAATGAGATTTCCTGA